TCTCTCTCTCTCTCTCTCTCTCTCTCTCTCTCTCTCTCTCTCTCTCTCTCTCTCTCTCTCTCTCTCTCTCTCTCTCTCTCTCTGTGTGTTACATGCCCAGTTGGGCGATGTATATATATAGCCAATCATCCGCAATGTGATGAAAAGGACTGAATGGACAATGCAGTGCTAGTGGAATCTCAACAAGCAGTGTACATCCTGATACATACAAAAATGGCACTTTGTAGCGCAGTGGAAGACTTAGATATAAGCCCTGACCTGACCGGGACTGACCTCTCTCACGTGGTACAAGACAACGCAGCAGAATACTAGAATACCAATGACTAGCCCATACAAATGCTGCAATGCAGACTAAACATACATCATCCTCATCACAAGGTGTGAAGGGGCCTGGCGCTACACACAGGAAGAATGCGCCAGGTCCAGACTATACACAGACGAAGAGGAGGGGATCAGACGAAGAGGAGGGGATCAGACGAAGAAGAGGGGGAAGATGGAAATGTCGTCAACACCAAGTCTTCGGTACAAGTCCCAGATAATCCCTCGTCAAATGTCTGAAGCCCAATGTCGATTGCAGAGGCTTGAATACCATCATCGTAAAGATCGGGGTAGCAAATACTTTATAGACAACCTTATAGATTGACTCCAGGGATCCAGGGATGCAAATACTTTACAGACAACCTTGTAAATTGACTCCAGGGATGCAAATACTTTACAGACAACCTTGTAAATTGACTCCGATGCAAATACTTTTCTATAATAGATTTGAAGCTAGGGCATCATCAGACCGAGGTAGCACCCGAAGATCTGCATATGTCAACTTTTAGGATGCACTATGGACATTATGAATTCACCGTGATACCCTTTGGATTGACAAACGTCCTTGCTTTGCAATGATGTTGACGCCATATGTTCAGAGACTAGCTCAACCAATTTGTCATAGTATACCTACATGACATGTTAGTATTCAGTTGTAATGACCTGCAAAAACACAGACTGAGAACCCTGCTGATTTCTGAGTTTTGCGACTGGAATGTGTGCCTTGCTGAGATTAGCGCATCCTGCTGAGATTTCTAAGTCTGTGTGTGTGCGTGCTTGCTGGTTTTTGTCTGCCTGTCTGAGTGCATGTCTGCCTGAGTGTGTGTGTGACCCGACAGGGTACTTGTGTGCTTGTGGGGCCCGCGGGTCTGGTACTTAACCCGTGGCCGCGACTTTGAGGGTTGCAGCGGGGAAACACTCAAATAGCCGAGGGGTAGCTTAGGGCACATTCAAGTAGCTGTAGTGTAGACCTGGTAGGACTCGAGTAGCGGTAGGCCGAGCACAAGAAGACAAAAAGTTAGTACCTTTAGAGGCCGCGTGAATTGTAGAAGTCCGGTAGGCCTGGGACTAGGGGTAGTAGTCCAGTAGCCTGAGTCCAGGGCCTGTAGCAGTAGATATCAGGTCTGCAATGATGTTTCCCTCCAAAACGGAGGAGGTAGCGGTTGCTTGGAGGCCGAGTGGCCAGGAAGTCACCGCCCAAGGGGCCGGCCGCACAGTATATCTCAGCGGAGCACTCATTGCTCCGCCTCATTTGCGGTGTGCAAGTTTGGGCACCATGCTGCTGGAGAGCTAGGCAAAGGAGCGCTGGTGTAGGGCACTGGGAGGAGTGCATGGCCTTCCACCTCGGTTATAACGGACAGGACCAGGGACGTGGAGGAGGAGAGTGGTAAATGTACTTACCTGGCTATAGTGGACGTCATCTTCATCTCCTTGGTAGGCACTGCACCTGGAAGGCCCCAGTAGAGGTTGGGCGTTGTGTTTTGAACATTGGAACAGGAACCCAGGAGTCCGCCGGAGGTGGTTGAGAATGAAGGTCATGGCCATGGTGGACCTCGTGGTGTGCTGGCAGTAAGAGGGAGATTCAGATAACGGTTCTGGTTCAGCCATTTCATTGTTATTATTATAATTTATTGAAGAATAAGATTGGGGGAGATAAGGAGGAGGAGAGTGAGTGGCGAGAGAAGGGGGATTTGTCATTGCTTGTTTGCTGGTGTACATCTTCTTCTTCTTCTTTCTTTCTTATTTCTTCTTCCTTCTCTTTCTCCTTCCAAGCTGGGTTAAGCCGACGCCCGGTCCAGACGGACTGGGAGGGGTCCGCCCGGCAAAACCAGACGAGCCAAAAAACATCCCAGGATTTTTTTTTATTTTTTTTTTGAAGATGGGGTTGGAGTGCGCTCGCTGAGAGGAGCCCGAATCCGCAGAGAAACTTGTGAAAGGCATGTGTGTTGGGGGAGGGGGGGTG